ATTGCATGTAACCTTTAAAAAAAAATCCTAGGAAGTGCGTCTCCTTTTGATGATGAGAAATTTGAAGTTTGGGGATGTTAAATAGCATGGTAACACAGTATGAATTGGAATCTAGACTTCTGACTCCAGAGAGAGGAAAACCTAGGAGGAGCTGAACACTGTACGTGAGGCATTATGTATACTTTCTCACTCAGTCCTCTTCACCTTATAAAACAGTTTTGAAACCCATTTTACAGATGAAAACACTGAGCCTCAGCCACTTTAAAGAATATTCGCTCAAGATCGCATAGCTGCCTGAAGGGAACAGTTCTCAATCTGCTGGCCCAGGGCACTCCCATCTGTTTCCAATGCTGAGCTCTTCAACCAGGGGTGGGGGTGGGGGTTGCTCTGTGGCAGTGGGACAGACAGGTTATGGGAGGCGAGTTCTCACTCAAAATGTGTAGGCCAGGCAACACTGATAGCTTCTGGTCTCTCTGAGGCAGGGAATATCAGTGACACTTAGGGAGTGGATAGTGATGTGTCTGGAGGTAAGATGAACACAGAGAAAAACAGGGTTGAGATGGTCGGAAGGCCTGCCGGCAAGCACACGAAAAGAAGCCTCGCCTCCTTCCTTTGGAGAGCCCAGGAGACATCTCTCCTTGTCTCCCTCTGGGCGGGGTGAGTCCGTCCCCACCCACCAGCAGATGCAGACCCTACGCCTGTTATACATTCACGTTCAAAAATAAAAGAGGGTGGACCTCTGTGTTACTCAGTTGCATCTAAGACGTTAAGATGAAGTAAGGTAGATTGTCTGGTTTGGCCTCAAATCCATCAGATGAAAAGCAAAAGACCTTGAACCTGTAGCTACTGAATTCTGAAGGGCAGGGTGGGGGGTGGTGTCTTGGATTTGCTTCCTCCACGGAAGCCAGGTTTAGCCAGCCTGGCTATGCACTCACTGCACCAGACAACCTTCTGCGGGGCCCGTGACGCTCAGCACGCTGGGCGCTTAGTAGGTGGTTCAGTGAGTCCTGGCGATGGGCCTGCCCACAGCTTGGGCCGCTCCGCTTGAGCGGTGCAGCTGCCAGCCGTCCTGCCTGTCGGGCTGTGCTCGGTGAGTAGAGGTCAGAGTCTGAGGCTTCTCTGTAGGCAGGTTGCTTGGACACCCTGAAGAGCAGATTGAACCTGTGCTCTGTATAGTTTATAAATGATTTGTCAATGGCGACAATTTACAAAAATATATTTCTGTTGCGGCTTCTTCCAATCGCTGGGATTTATGACTTCATCTCTCGGATTTGAAAGCACACCCGCATGCTCTGGCAAATGAGAAAATGTATGAACAATTTGTTGGCTTCTTTTTTTTTTTATCAAGTTTCCCCAAATATGTAAAGTCTGAGAGCGCCTTATTCTTTTTAAATGATCATTCATTTGTCTCCAGACTCTATCTTTTGGCACAATTTATTATTCTCTATTTCAAAAAACTTAAATGCATTTTGCATATTAGCACGTAACTCTTGTTCCTGTCTCCTCAGTTGTGGAAAGGGCTGGATTGCTTTTATAAAGAAAAAAATGGCTAATAAAATTGGCCTCAGCACCATTGCTCTGCAATTCTTATGAACAGTAAAGTGGTACTTACCGTCATTGATGTTAAAAGCTATTTCTAAATTATGGTGCCATTTATTATCTCTAGTGTCCAAAGTAAGTTTAAATGATGCTTATAATTCATGTTTTACCAAATTTCCTTTTCCCCCGGAGGATACCTCTGATTAACTTATGCACATTAAAGCGCTTTTTAAATTCTTCTTTTATTGCCATTATGCTCTGAAAATCTCAGCGATTCTCAAAAATGGGTAATAAACTTGAGATAAAATGCTGCAGTTTTAGATCAATGCTGACATATCACTGTGGTGATTTCTACAGAGCTAAAGTGATAATGCTTCATATTTACGGAATATATACTAGGTTATTACTACAGTATTACCATTTTGTTCTAAGATGAAATGAGTAATTTACCAATTTATTAAACAGTTACATTTAAGTATTGCTTAGGACATTATCACCCCAATCTGTTTACTTAGCTTGAAGAGTTACCATTAAGATACCCTGTTTATTTAGGTAAAATTTGTAATCATCATGCCTTCCATTAACCAACTTATTTTTCTGCAAGGCTAATTGTCTGGAAATGAGTTTCTTCTTATTTACTGTGCTACATTCTGCTTAGCTGGCTAAAAACGTCACCCCAGCAAGAAGTGCTAGGGAAATTAATAATACATACAGAGAACAGTTTTAATTAGTATAATACTGAATGTTAATAAAAGATTTATGACACCGTTAAAAAGTTCTAACAGAAGAGATCGTAACAGCTTCAGGCTGGGTTTTTGAGGAGAGGACGTCCGTGGCTGCGCCTTTTGTGGGAGGCCAGGGTGAGGTGATTCTCAGGGGCTGCTGGAGGTCAGAGGGTCTGCCTCTAGGAGAAGTTTGGGAATAGAGCATTCACAACAGGGAAGAGGAACTTGGAACATGGATGTAGAATGCCAAATCTAACTGGAACGATACCAAGGTTTCTGCCAAGTAGGAGAGGAACACGGCCCCCTCCTCCCCGAGATGTTTCTAGAGGCAACACTGGTCTTCAGCCTCAGCTGAGAACAAGACTTTTGAGTCTCCACTGCCGTAAGCTCAAAAGCTATGGGGACAATGAATTGACAGGGAACTGGGAAGAGAATGCATATTCACTGAGTATTTATTATGTGCCGTTTACTTACACATGCTTGCGTGCTTAGTCACTGAGTCCAACTCTTTGTGACCCCGTGGACTGTAGACCTCAAGCCTACTCTATCCATGGAACTTTCCAGGCAAGAATACTGGAGTAGGTTGCCATTTCCTTCTCCAGGGGATCTTCCCAACCCAGGGATAGAACCTGAGTCTCCTGCATTAGCAGGCAAATTCTTTACCACTGAACCACCAGGGAAGCCCTTTGCTTACACACGCTTATTTTAGTTTGCACAGCTGAGAGCTAGCAGTGTCTTCATTCTGCAGGTCAGGAAGTGGAGCCCTGGGAGGGTGAAGCCCTCCCCTGAGGTTATGCAGCTAGTGAGAGGAGCAGAATTTGAACCCAGGTCTGTGGAAACCTCAGAGCATTGTCTCCTGCAAGGTGGTATCCCTGTGAGGAGAAAGCCAACAACCCTGTTAGTGACCTGCACCCTTGTCCATGATGTCAGCCAAGTAGGCAACCAGACAGGCCTTTGGTTGCCTCCATTCTCATCTGGATGGGTTGGTGTCTTCCCACTGTCCTGCTTGTCCCAAAGGGGCAGTGTTCTTTCTTTATGTGTCCACCTTTCCTCTGTGACATGAACTCACAAGGGCAGGCCTATTTCTTTAGAAATAGTGTAATAATAATGATAATCGTGTAATAATGTGCTTGGCACATTGTTGGTGGTGGTCTGTCGCTAAGTCGTGTCTAATTCTTTACAACCCCATGGACTGTAGTCCACCAGGCTCCCCTGTCCTTGGGATTCTCTAGGCAAGAACACTGGAGTGGGTTGCCATTTCCTTTTCCAAGGGATCTTCCCAGACCAGGGATCAAATCACATCTGCCTGCATTGGCAGGCAGACTCTTTACCACTGAGCCACCAGGGAAGCCCACTTGACAAATAGTAGGCCCTTTTGAAAAGACTTAAAGGGCCAGGGGAAAAGGAAGTGAAAAGGAAAGACAAATACAGCTTACATTTGCAGAGTTCGCAAGAAATACCGGCCCTAGGTGGATATATTTTGTTTGTGGGAAGTCATCTCCCTCCCCATCATCGAGCCTACACAACCCTGGCTGAAGTATAAGGGTTATTATTGTTGCCATCTTTTCTAGCCCCCAAGGGCTAGGTCTTAGGAGCAGCAGGAATCCTTCCTAACGTGAGTTGATTCTCTCCTGGCATGTGTAATAAAAACTGACCAAGTCAGTTACTTTCTCAATTTCTCTCCAATTTGAGAAACTCCATATCATGAGGCACTTGAGGGCTGATGACTCTTTTATCCTACTCTTGATTAAAAGATAAAAGAAAGAAAATAAAACTAACAGAAGTTCTTGGACCGAAGTTCTCCAGGATATGACAAAATGGCCAGGATGCTTCTTGAAAAAGAAAAGTAGTGCCTGAAACCGGGGTCACCTTTGAAGCTCTCTGAACACCTTGCTCTTCCTGACTATGATGCCCTCTGCAAAGGAATTTTAGTTCTTCAGTGGATGAATGGATAAACAAATTGTGGTCTGTACATACAATGGAATATAACTCAGCCATAAAAAGGAAGTACCCATACCTATACACAACTTGGATGAGCCTCAAAAACATTATGCTAAGTGAAAGAAGCCAGCCAAAAAGGCCACATACTGTTTTGATTCCATTTATATGAAATATCCAGGAAAGGTAAATCCATAGAGACACAAGAGAGATCAATGGTCCCAAGGAACAAGGGAAAGGAGGAATTTGGAGTGGTTAATTAAAAAGTAGGGGATGTTTTTCTGGGGTGATGAAAAAGCTTTGAAACTAGAGAGATCTTGTGGTTGTACGTTATGAATGCACTGAATGTCACTGAGTTGTACACATTAAAACAGCCAACTAATTATATGTTATGTGAATTTCACCTCAATTTTTTAAAAAGGCATTTTAGGAATACAAGAATAAGTGTCCAAACCTACATATACCTGGGTGTTCATCACAGCAGTAGCTTTAAGAAGGAGAAATTGGAAATAATTATCTAAACAACATTTAGAGATTGATCACAGAAAATAAAACCATTCATACAACGGAATGAAAGGTAACAAAAAGAAAGGTGGGACATTGCTGTGTAGCATAAGGAACTCAACTCAGTTCTGAGATGACCTGGGGGTGGGACGGAGCTGAGAGCAGGGGGCTCAGTAGGGGAGGGGACAGTGTGCATGTGGCTGATTCTCTTTGCTGTGGAGCAGAGATAACAGAACACTGTGAGGCAATTACACCCCAGTAAAAATAAACACTTAAAAAGAATGGAGTGGGGGTTCCCTGAAAGTCCAGTGGCATGACTCAGCACTTTTACTGCTGCATCCCAGGTTCAATCCCTGGTTAGGGAACTGAGATCCTGATCCTGCAAGCTGCATGGTATGGAAAAGAAAAAAGAAAGGGGGAAGCTGATAGATAATGACATGGAAAGATGTCCTTGAAGCATCAGTGAGTAAAGTAATTTGCTTGCCAAATAATATATATTTATCATATCCCATTTAAACACACACACACACAGAGGTGTGCCTTGTATTGTCATAGGACAAGAAATGGAAACGACAGACACAAACCACATGGTTTGCTCAGGTTACTACTGAGGAAGAAAGCTGGAGTGGATGGGGGCTTTCACTTTTTACTGTGCCATGTGGTCATTTGCGAAAATTAAAGATCTTTTGAAAATAAATGGATATGTTTTGAATTAAGTCAAAAGTTATAATAACATTTAAGATGTCGTAGGGAGTGTTAGTGATCCACAGTCCTATCACCAATTTAGTTTAAATGGCTCAAAAAAATTTTTTTAAACACATTGGACAGCAAGATTAAAAGGAAACAGCACTAAAATACTCTGAGGGACATCAAAAGATGATGCCTTAGACTCAGCAGGGCCTTGCTTGGACTGCCTTATGTTTCTTCTGATGCCGAGCACCATACTTGAAAGTGATAGGAGCTCACTAAGTTTCAGAGTTTCCCAGCTGGCTCTAGTGGTAAAAAACCTACCTGCCCATGCAAGAAATGCGAGTTCGATCCCTGGGTTGGGAAGATCTCCTGGAGGAGGGCATGGCAACCCACTCCAGTATTCTTGCCTGAAGAATCCCATGGACAGAGGAGCCTGGCAGGCTTCAGTCCATAGAGTCGCAAGAGTGAAACAACTTAGCACACACACTGTTTCACCCCTACTTTCTTACAGAAAGTAAATTTCTTATAAAATTTACTGCATTTTTCTATAGTTTTCAGTATCCAGTCTGGAAACACTGAATCTAATACGTTTGCAAGACAAAATGGCTGTTTATGTGCAAACTATCAGGGCCCTTTTTGGCTAAAAGACTCTAGAGGGCTAACGCGCAGGGAAACTTTTTGATCTCAATTATTGAGATGCTTTGGAAGGTATTTTTAGCCTGAATGATCTGGATAATTATCTCAGTCTTTCACTTTGTTTTGACTAGCTCTGCAGACTGGTTTGAGTTCAGGAGGGGTATCAGTTACTTCAACTAAATATTCTTTCAAATTCATAATGCCAACCCATGAGATTTTTATTTGTTGTATGTTAGTTTTCCTCAAACACAGCCAACATTTAAATTTCTGCTGTTGCATCCATTTTCAAAAGGGAGCATTCTTAGAAGCTGGAAGGATGCAATCAAAGTGATGAGTGGACCTGAGTGTTTGGGAGTGTGTGTGTATGTGTGTGTGTGAGTATGTGTGTGATTTTGTATTTGTGTGTGAGTGTACCTGTTCTGCAACAGGCTCTGTGTCGAATTTTCGAGGCAGAAGACAGAGCTAATTCTTCTCTCATTTTTAGTGGATTATTTTGTGTGAGTTCTAAATAATTGATAAGGAGGTCCCTTCCCATAATTAAAATGGATGTCCTGACATGTCAACACTGATAGCTTTTCCAGTAATGAGTGAATTGAGATACACTTTAAGTACAGGCTATATTTACTCCCCCGGACAGGTTGCAGTGCAGAGTGTGCGGATGGGGTGACTGGGGCTGGTGGGAGACACAGGCCTTTTTCGCTGGAGATGACAAGAGATCAGGAAGGACAAACGCCTGGGAGGTTCCCGGGACCAAAGCCCCTGCCTGGTCCCGAGGTGCACCCCGGACAAACAGGTGAGCCAAAGACAGAGAGCCGCACAGGGAGGCAGTCGGGACGTCTGGACGTCCTTGGTGCCGTTTAGAATCCGTTGTGTTTTGTTTTTTTCCAGCCCTAACGCCCTCTCAGGCTTTCCCCATCTGCTGGATGCTTCTTTCCTTGATGAAAACCGGCTATGGAAACCTTTCCTGCCCCGGGGAGAAGGGTCATTGGAATGCTTCCAGGTGGGGTTACCTTCTTACAAACCTCAGAGTCAGTTCATTCACCTTTGGGCTCAACAGGCTGTGCTCGCCGCCTACCACGGGCCCTACTCCAGGGCTGGTGCTGTGGGCACTGTGGTAAAGGCCGCCGTCCTGGAGGCGCTCACAGAGCGACCAGCATGGAGGCAGAGGCGGGGCCTGGGCGCCGGGCCGGGCGGACGGCCCGCCTCAGGGGTCTGTGCTGACTGTGGGTGCGGCCGGTGGGGGCCGGTCGGGGCCGGTCCGGGCCGCTCGGACAGGCCCTGTGGAGCGAGGGGCGAGGGGCGGACGCTGGGGCGCGAGCAGACGGCAGAGCAGCCACGTGCAGCAGGGCCCGCTTCCTGAGGGCGTAATTCCTGGCCTAGGAGCTCAGCCGCCATCCTGCGACGATGCTGGGCGCTGAGAGACTTGACACAAGCCAGTGGTGGGGGTGAGGCTGAATTTCAGGGAGGCCCTCCGGTGGCCAGGAAGGCGGGTCCCGGAGTGAGGCAGAAAGCGGGACTAAAGAGTCAAGGTGTAAAAGGGGGGCTCCCAGAAGGGTGAGGAGGGGCAGCGGGCCTGGGCGGCCGAGCCCGGAGGGCTGAAGAGGCCGCTGCGCCGCCCAGAGCGCCCGGGTCACCCCGAAGCGGGGCAGAGGGGAGCATGAGACCTGGCAAGCTGAAGTCCCTGTGCCCCTGGCTGGCAGCCCTGCGACCTTGGGTTGGTTACTCAACCTTCCTGAGGCTGACGCCTTCCCTGCAGTTTGGGCATCATGGTACCTGGTTCCCTCTTCATCTGCACACCACATCCTAGCTGCTCAGTGCCAGCAGGGCTGACTGTTGGCCGGGGTGGGGCGGGCATCCACAAGTGTCCTCACGAGAGAAGCCCACCCAGAGCTTCACCCACACACAGCCCTGGGCACAAGAGCTGATGTGGGCGGGGGCCCTGGGGGCTCATCACTGAGCCCCCGAATGAGGACACCTTTCAACAAGGAGAGGAGAGCCACAGACCCGTGCGGGTGCACTCATTTCCAAGCAGACTCTTGTCGAGGTAAAAAAAAAAAAAAAGGTGGCAGAGTGTGGGTCCTGGCAGGAACACCCGAGAGCACAGATGTATGTGCCCGCCTGCCCCCGCTGTTCCCTCTGTCTGCCTCCCTCTGGCCTCCTTCATCCCGTCTTGGCTTGGATACTGCCAGCTGACTCCAGAGAGGCCACAGGACACCAGGAGCAGGTCACCGTCGGGGAGGGAGCCAGGGGATAACTCAGGAAAAGGGCACACATTCTTGGAAGGTAGCAAGTTCTCAGTTCCCAAGAACAAACGCTGATCCAAACTTTAAAAAAAAATTTTTTTAAGCAGCCTTGCTGACACCTTAAAGATGTGTCTCCATTTGATTTATTTAAAACACGCTCAATGCTCAAAAGTTCTTAGAAATATTTTTTTCCCAATTAAAAAAAAAAAAAAACTCTGGCATCCAATACTTCCTTTGAGGAAAAAAGCCAAAGAATTCTTGCTTTCTGCCAGAAGTGGGGAATTGTGGGGGCGGCTGATACACTACCCCTGGGTGAGCCTGCAGGCACCGTGCAAAGTCCAGTCTTACCGGCAGAATACTCACTGAGAGGTCAGTTGACTAACACTCTGAGAAACAGGGGCTCTGAGTGATTGATGACTAAGGCATCTTGTTTTAACTTAACAGTTAGAAAGGGGGAAACCTTCCTGTCTGCACCTACCAAGTTGTGTGTTGGCCTACTTGCAAAATACCCCACAAGAAATCTGGCAAAGACACCCAGAGTCGCTGGTCCCCAAGATGCTCCTGCCTTCCTTGGTCCTGTGTACAATCGGATCCAGCACGGGTTTCCACTGCCTCAGCCAGCAGCAGGCACATTCTGAGTGTTCTTTTCACAAAGCAGGGCCAGCTGTGTTTACCATAAACTTAGCTTCGGAAGCAGTCAACCCAGAGGATGCTTATTCTTTAAGTTTCTTTCCTTTTTCGTTTTTTTTCTTGTTTGTTTGTTTATCTTTGGCTGTGTTGGGTCTTCGCTGCTGTAGTGGGCTTTCTCTAGTTGCGGCAAGCGCGCTTCTCTGGTTTTGGAGCGCGGCCCCTAGGGCACATGGGCTCAGTAGTTGCAGCCAGAGAAGTCTAGGATGCTTACTCTGATGACTACGACGCTGCACTTCTTTATTTTTTTATTAAACTTTTTATTTTGTGTTGAAGTGGAGTTGATTAGCAGTGCTGTGATGGTTTCTGTTCCTTGTGTTAGTGCTGACATGGAAGCTGTCACCCATGTGAGATTATGTGTGCCCACGGTGCCATCTCTTCCAGGCGACTGTGGCTGTGGGCACAGGGTGGTGAGTACCCAGGAGACTGGACGTGGTGTGGGGACCCCAACGGCTGCACCACCGCAGGCTTCTCCTCCGGGGTCCACACCTGTGCCTCTCAGCCTGTGGGCTTTCCCCTGCCCTCCAAGCGCAGAGGAATTGCTCTAGTAATTCTTGGTGCCTCGGCTCTGTCCCCTAAGATGCCAAAACAGCATATCTCTGGTCTCTGTAAACTCAAGCATACCCATGTCTGAAGCTGCAGGCTACATGCAGGAACAGTTGGATGTTTTATTTTTCATGTAAGCTTTCCTGTCCTGATGGATGTCTCAGGCTTGTCACTTTTCAATGGTCACCTGATATTCCATTGTTCTGTTCTATCCACATGTAGGACCAGGTTTGAGGGTGTGTAACTTGTAAAGTCAAACGGGGTCCGACATTCGAAAGAGTCCTGCACTTGGCTTAATGATCTGCTGTTGCCATTAAGGTAATTCATTTCAGTACCATTTAAAAAAACAACCAATTTTAAATAACCTAAGTGATGTAGAGAAGAACTATGTCATGGAATACTATGCAACCATTAAAAATAGACTGATAGGTAACAATCTCCAGATGAACTGCAAAGTGAAAAACAAGATACATTTCTATAAAATTAAAAAAAAATTGAGATGGGCTAAATACTCTTAACTTATGCACAGATCAACTTTGGGACGGGGATGGGAGAACTGACTT